CAAGAAAGGCAAGAAAGCTTCGCAGCAACCCTCGGTGAAAAACGCGCGGCACGGATTGCCAAACGTAGGGTATTGTAGGGTGCCAATTGGTAGCATGACGGACCTCTTGTGTCAATGCCAACCTGCCAAGGTGCTGGAGGGCTAGACACTTGCATCTCTGAAACAAGTCAGTTGTACTTTACTACAATTTGTTATACAATGAAACGTTGCGACTGGGAATGGTTTGGAATGTCCCATGCTGATAGCTTTGAGGCCTCTGCTATATGACCGGCCTCGCCTATTATGACTGGCTGGTGGCCAACCTTTTGACATCAGTTAGAACGGACACTTGCAAATGCTGAAGCTGTCAATCAAAACCAATTTATAACAAACTAATTTCCGCAAAGATGTGTGGGCCTTCCCGGGCCAGTGGAGGCTTCACAAAGAGATCAGCGTCTTTCGATCCTGAGCAGGCGTGATTCGTGGAACCGTCCCAACAAGTTCAACAAGTCCTCACGATTCCATAGCCCAGTCTTCAAGTCCCTTCAAGTCTGAAAGCAAAATGAAGCAAACAAACTGGTTTATTGATCTGGAGCCTGGCCTATCTTGGTTCACACTGCATGTAGTTCTGAATCGAAGATTATCGAAGCACAAAGGAGGCCCAGTTGTTTTTCGCACAGAGAGATCTCAAACCTATTCAATATATATATAATATATACAATCACACACACACGCACACATATATATATATATACACATGCACACATATATATATATATACACATGTATGTATATATATATACCCTCGGGGACCCAGGTTCTCCGATGACCGCACACCGTTTGTTGCTCCGCTGCAGATGATCACGTTGTATCATGCTCCGCGACAGGGCAGGGTGGGGTGGGGTGTATTATCGTTCGTGGAATGTTGATCATGCTGTTGATGCCCCGCTGCAGATGATCACGTTGTATCATGCTCCGCGACAGGGTGGGTGGGGGTGGGGGGTGGGATGCTCCGCGACAGGGCAGGGTGACAGGGCGGGGTGGGGTGGGGGGTGGGGTGGGGTGGGGTGTATTATCGTTCGTGGAATGTTGATCACGTTGTTGATGCTCCGCTGCAGATGATCACGTTGTATCATGCTCTGCGACAGGGCAGGGTGGGGTGGGGTGTATTATCTTTCGTGGAATGCTGATCACGTTGTTGATGCTCCGCTGCAGATGATCACGTTGTATCATGCTCTGCGACAGGGCAGGGTGGGGTGGGGTGTATTATCTTTCGTGGAATGCTGATCACGTTGTTGATGCTCCGCTGCAGATGATCATTAACAATATCATTGATCATATCATAAATTACCACAAAAAATCCTCGTCATGAGCACAGATGTCGAAACAAAAACAATATCTTGAATCCATATGGGAAATACCATGGAAAATTCACCACACATGAGTTTCGATTGGGAAAATACAATGAACACACATGCACGAAAGAAAAAAAACAAACACACATGCTGACTGTCAGGGTTCCTCACTTTCAAGCAACATTCAAATGTAGTGCATATACCATGTAAAATAAGGCTACCTTTATTTTGCTTGTGAAAACACAGGGTAAAATGAGATGTTTCAACATATGTTGCATACCATCGCAACGTATCTGTGCTGTAGTTACAAGGGGATTTACAACTATACCCTCCTAACCCATATCAAGTAAATCACAACTTTGCAAGCGCTCAAAACGGACGAGATTTTTTTCATCCGTTTTGATGCCCAATTCCACATAACAATGCTTCATGTCAAAATGCTAGTTTCGCTATGGCGAAACGCACATTTTTCACATGTTTGATCATCAACACCTATCATCTATCGGAGAACCTAGGGCCCCACCCGTATATATATATGCAGTAAATATATAATATAATATAATATAATATGATATAATATAATATAATGAAATATAATATAATATAATATAGTATTTTTATATATCTGACCCATCCGCAAACTAGCCACAAATTGCCTTGACCACCGAAGATGAACTTGCTGAGCCTGCTGGCCTTCCAGCATTAGAGCTCTAGAATCGCAAATGTCCACACAACTGGTGCCAAAATCGGAAATACAAGTAGCACCAAACAGCATGAAATAAATGGTGCATGGTTCAACATGGTTCAACTAGAAACAGTCAGATGTGAAAACTATATTATCCCCAATCGGGTGAGTGATGCTCAAATGCTGTGAGTCTCAGTCTTTATCCATTCCAATGCCAATGCTGTGCTGCGTTCATCTACTTGATGCATCTTCACAGGACAGCTCAGCCCTAAAATGTGGTTGCAGCTGCATGGAACAAATAGGTACAAGAAACTGGCACATGGGAATTAAATACTACCTTGAAACCCCAAAGTAGGTCGGTATAACTGACTATAACTAATATATATACTATATATACATATAACATCATATAACTAACGTGTTAAAACTAATCACTTCGCAGTTCACAACAATCAAACTTGAGTTCCACATCTGCTTGCGTCTGAAGTACTGCAAGCCCGGAACTCGTGGCATCTCTGGCGCAGAAGCCTCAAATTGATGAAACCGGCCTGATATTGATAAGAATCCCGTTGAAACTGGCACAGAAAATACCCGGGAATAATTTGAAGTTTGGGAACCTCTACGGATTGTTTTTTGACGAGTAGCCGCCTTGATCTTTTTCGGTTCTTCAATCTCATCCTCTTCCTTTCCATCCAATCCTTTGAGCAAACTGCGCATGTATGGGCTTGCATCCGCAATCCTCAGCATAAAAACTGGGTGGCTAGGAATCTCACAACCAAACAGCGCGCAGAGCGACACGTTCACACGAACTGGTGAGCACACAGCGGCCCAAAACATGATATGAATCTCATCAAGTCTCATCACATTTTCATGTGACAAGAGTCAGCAATTTCATTGGGGATCAGTGCAGCACTTTAGAATGGCTATTCTAATCGACGTCTTGGAGCTGCCTTCCAAATCACAGTTAGAACTTCCATGTGCATGAGCTCAACGTGGCATGCTGGTTGGAAGGGAGGAATGCACAGTGCTACAGGCAACATTTAAAGTTCTATAATGTTCCACAATTACCAAAGAAACCCGCATGCAAACGTGATTCAATTCCAATCCAGCTAAAACGTTGGCTGATTTTGTCATGCTTTGGGCAAAAGGGGGATGGAAGTAACAACCCATCCAAGCTGACATGAAAAGGACAAGTTGCAGCATGTGGCTTATGTATTGAATTTAACAACCGGAATAGTGAATAGTTTCCTCCAACGCGCTAAAAACTGCAATAACCTCGTTCTTGGCAACTGCGTTTTAACTACTATCAACTGGCAATAGTCCAAACCTTGAGCAAATTTATCTGCATACCCAGCTTTCAGTTTTTGGTAGCTTGAGTGAAGCGGCTTGCCCAAGGCTTTCTGCTTTTGCTCTGGCTTGTCCTCTCACTATCGTGTGCCGAAAATTTGGGGAAACATTCGCATCCTGAAGGCCTACAATAACAATGCAAAACATGCGTTTCTATGTCTTTATCTCTGATGCGAAAACCTCATCCCTGCCATCCCGATAAAACGGACACAAACAAATGTAGTACTTTAATGTGCTTCGGGTACTTCTGATTCTGTTCCACCCAGCAAGATGAACATGGCTCCTCATAGTCAGCCCTAAATGTCAGCAGTGCCAAACAGCCGAAAGCCAGCTAGGGAATGATATATAATGAAATATATATATATAATATTCACCCCGCTTCGCGTGGGGTGGCCGCCCACACCGCAGGTTTATTTCGGTCCGTGAGAGGGGCTAAGGGTGGTGTGGAATATTTGTCGCCATAAAACCGGTCGAAAACATCATGTTCGACAATGCTTCCAATTGGGGCTTCCCAAGCTAAGCAATTTTCACTTTTCCCCCCCCGTAGACGCTTCCCAGGCGAGAATTTTCACTTTTCCCCCCCGTGGAGGCTTCCCAAGCTAGGGAATTTTCGCTTTTCCCCCCCCGTGGGGGCTTCCCAAGCGGGAATTTTCACTTTTCCCCCCCGGGGGCTTCCCAAGCTAAGAATTTTCACTTCCCCCCCCCCCGTGGGGGCTCCCCAAGCTAGGGAATTTTCACTTTTCCCCCCCAAGCTAGGGAATTTTCACTTTTCCCCGCCATGACAGCTTCCCAAGCTATGGAATTTTCACTTTTCCCTCCCTTGGAGGCTCTCCAAGCTGCGGAATTTCAAATAGCTAGACAACGACGCCTAGATAGTCCCCCAAATCCTGTGTTCTTTGAATGTGTTTCCATGTTTTTGCAATGGTTTCCTTCAAAGCACGGTACTTTACACTTTTGTCGCCATAAAACCGGTCGAAAACATCATGTTCGACAATGCATCCAATTCCCTTATCTCCCCAACCATTGAAAATACCGCTATTTACAGTATTTTCTTCAATTTTTCCATGTTCCAATGCCGGTAGCCAACTCCAACATATACATAAGAAATCCTTCCAAAACATTGTTTTTGACAGTGTTTTTCCAATGTTTCCAGTCAAACAGACGGTAATTTGCACGTTTTTTGCCATAAAGGCAGTAAATCCTTCCAAAACATTGCTTTTGACAGTGTTTTTGTAATGCTTCCAGTCAAGCATACGGTAATTTACACGTTTTTTGCTATAACGTCAGTCCAAAACACTTGTTTTTGCAGTGTTTTCAATGCTCTGGCATCCAAAAACCCTGCAAAATCTTGCTATGTACAATGTTTTTTTCATTTTTGGCCGTTTTTCCATTGCCGGAAAGCTACCAAAATGACCCAAAATTCAATTTCAATACCCTCTTGCGCTCAGATACCCAAAAATCCTCGAAAAATGTCGAAAACACCACCGAATTATGGTCTCGGTGCGAAACCGTTTTTGCCCCCCCCCAGCTAAAGCTGATATAGCGACTGCTATATTAACAAATGTGATTGAGCATTTAGTGTAGCTGTTTGCTCCCCAATAAGCACGCCTTCACCGCCAAAGCGGTGTGGGCGG